ATGACAAGGTAACGAATTTGCAACATCTAGTTATTGAAAGTATAAGTAAAGACATCTTCACTATTGAATAAATACATCTTCAGTAATGTTGTAATTATTATTCTACCATGAGCAATTTGTGTGACATCGTGTATTGTATTACAATCATTTAGCAGATGCTTTTGTAAAAAGAGTCATACAGTGATGTAGATCATTCATAAGGCTTGTGTCTCCATTATGTCGTGAGCAATCAGTTAATGGGAGAGGTAACAGAATGGTGTGCCTATGTGTTTTTGCTTTACAGGTGTCTGTGAATTTGCCTGGAACTGCAGTGGTATCTGTGGACCAATCTGCCCAATACGCATTCACTTGCAAATGATGGAAAGAAATTTTAGCTTTAGTGCATTCACAATAATGCAAGCTAACAACATTTAAGGGAGTGTCTATCTATCTGCATAAGAAAAACTTTCATTTGTGCTGATAATTAAGGACTAGATAATTGCTAATTGCATTTCAAACCTCATAGTGCTTACTCTTTTTTTTAGTGTGTTTGTTTAATAGACAATAAACATTTAGAGGTAAAAATATTTTCCATACCCTCATGATTCCAGGGTTGTGGGTTTGACTCCAGCCCCTAAGTTCTGCATTTCTGAAGCTTGGATGTTCTCATGGCATTTGCATGCAGACCTGGATTGAATACAAAGTTTAAAACCACAAAAACAAAGCTGTGGTGTTGTGAGGAATATGTAGAGTTAGCAGTGATGTTGTTTGTCAAAAGAAAACATAAGGTGATATGCAGATTAATGACCCCTTTCACTTCACATGTTCATGTTACATAAATACTGTTTTGGTGACTGTACCGTCTTTTAATTCCTGCAATGTTTCAGTTCAGGTTCATCCATCTCTTAAATTGCACATCTGGACTATATACAATTTGTAATCAGAGGTTAACCTTCATCTTTCCTTTCCCCCACTGGGTTTGCTTTACTGTGATGTGGGTCTGCTGAGGTGAAGTCTTACACTAGCAGAGCTGCCTTTCACTGAGCAGCAGGGTGTGAAGGAGTGAAGGTTTCTCCCAGAATGTATTTCTCTTGAAAGACACACAGTAATGAGTCAGGCCCACTATGGGCATTATGCCATTTTTTTTTCATCCACATGGGATCCCACACTGTCAGTTATTGCTTCTGTCCTGAGGAGCCTGATATAGCAAACAAACATGGTGCGACAGTGTTGTCATGGTAAGAGGCCACCACAAGGTGGCAGCTTTGTCACACACTGTAAAACCTACAGTAACAGCACTTCTTAATAATAGAAGTAAGTTAATATAACTTAATTTTGCCTAAAGGTTGGATTCACTCATTTCCACTAATTTAACTTAACTCA